CACACACACACACACACACACACACACACACAGGCTCAGAAATAAGATCACATTAGGCATTACTAACCACTAAGGCCTGGGCTTGACATGAAGATGTACCATCACTTAAATTCCTTCTTGGGTGACAAGGTACTATACTTCTAGAGGAAAGTCAGTGTTAGTGATATTCAACCCTCTCTATTCTCAATGGTAAGGATAAAGAGATTAGAAAAATAGGACAAAATATTAGTGAAAACATCCCAAAATGCTCTTGGGAGGCTGTAAACAGGTGGGTCACTATGAGTCCAATCTAGTAGTGAGACCCTGAACACCCTGCAGACCCTTCCCTAAAAAAAGAAATCATCTCAAGATATAATATTTAAATAAATATGTGAAAGACAAAGAGAAGATCAAAGTTAAAAGTGCAAATTAATTAAATTCTACTTCACTTCCTTACTACTCCCTCCCAGAGTGTGGAGATTACAGGTGTGTGACTAGCTTTGCCACTAGTAAAATATCTTAATGATTGAATATAATGGTCACAGAGCTATTGTAAATCTGCTTTATGTACATGGTATCATTTCCTAAGAAAAAAACTACTTGGTTTATTAAAAAGAAACATACTTCTGATCACATCTGACAGGTTATTGTCTATTACAGAGACAACAATGGCCCACCATTTACCCAAAAGATACACAGTCAATACCAGTATTTCTCCTGCTCCCCAGTTCTGGTTGGCAATGGCTTACAGGGTATCAGTAGTTACAATTTTGGATGGTATCAAGCTCACCAAATTAGCTCTCAATCGTGAGACAATAAATTTGTAAAAAGGAGAGATTCTTACTTGGATATCACAGGAGAAGATGACCTCTTAGGAATGACTCCAGGAAGCTCGCATCTTTTCAGTGGGGACCCAAGGCTCCCAGGGCTCCCAGTGGGAATAGTAATTATTCGTTGCCCCTTCTTCACTTTCTCTGTCTGTAGGGGAAGCAGAATAGGGTAGCCACAGCCCATGACTGGTACTAGTTCTACAATTTCTTAAAAAGTCTGACATGGAAGTGATGTACAGCTTTACCAGGGATCAATACAAAGCTATAATGCTTCATATAACAGGAAAATTTGTAGGGAGACACCATGAGGCCATCACATTTAGGGCGTCCAGTAAAAACAGTAACAATTTTCCAATTTACTCCATTCCTTGTTATATTACCAGAAACTAACAACAGAATTATATTATGGTTGTGGCCATAAAAGAACTGGAAAGAGTACAAAGACACCTGAACACTACAAAAAATTACATGTATGAAGGAATGTGGTTATAACATCCAAGACAGCAAGCTATGGATAGCATACTAGGCTATAATGGTGACTCTAACCCACTTATTTCTCTATCAGCAGAAGGGAGAAGGGAACAGACAAAAGTGTCTGGCCTATAGAAAGTTCTTCCACAAGATAAGTTCTCTTCATTCCCTAATACATTTCTCTGTAATAAATCCTCATTTGAATCTCACAGCCACAAAAATTTTAACCTCTTGCTACAATAATGTACTCTACAGAAAAAATCCAAGCGTTAGAAATATGCCTCTTTTAAGAATCTCAGGGCCTCAGCAAATATAAGTAGAAAGTATGTTACAGAATGCCCAACAGTGCTAGAGATAAAACTTGGTGTTAGAGTGCTTGCCTAGAATGAGTGAGGCTCTAGGTTTGATCCCCTTTCCACAAAAAAACCCAATAGTAATGTGGTAGTCTTAACATAAATTAACATACTTTTTATATCCTTTGCTTTAAAGGTAGAGCAGAGCTTAAGTTCCTTTCCCCTTGAGAGTAGATCTTAGTGATTTGGTTTTGAGAATAGCACGTTCCACAAGAGATAAGTTGGGTATAGAAGGTACCACAGTTTCCCTCTTGTGCTGTCTCTCGGATTGCTTGCCCTAAGAGAAGCCAGCTGACATGTTATGTGGATACTGAAGCAGCTTCACAGGGAATCCCATATACCAAGGAGCTGAGGCCTTCTGGTCTCAGTCATAAGACGAATGTTTCAGAAGAGGCCCAGTTCAGCTCTTAGATGCTGCAGGTCAGGGAGGTAGCTCAGTGGCGTAAGCACTTGCCTGGCAAGCACAACATCCTAAGTTTGAATCCTGGTACAAAAAAAAAGTTGCTGCAGCCCAGCCAGCATCTTGACTATATCCTCATGAGAAAGTCTGTACCAGATCCACCTAGCTAACACTCCAAATTTTAATCCGAAAACCCCAGGAGATAAAAATATTTGTTTTAAGTCAGCAAGGTTTAAAGTAATTCACTTTGTAGCAAATGATGGCATAAGTAGTGTGGTATACATAATTTCTAAATAAATACACAAAATTGGGGGTGCTTGTTCAACATGTATTTTACTGATGGTATTAGTAATGACATAAAAAATAGTTTAAGGCAAAAAAAATAGTTTAAGGCTACTATTATGGGTGGTGGTTGATCTAAAACTTCAGTTCTAGTTACTGAAGCAGGCAAGACTTGCCCAGAACCTGATATACCCAAAGAAGCAGAAAAGAGACTAGAAACACTCTATCTGGCTCATGTCATTTGGAGGGCAGAATATAACAATGACGTTATTAGGAAATTTCTAAAATCATCAAGATTTAAGGATATGCAAAGAGTTAAATTATTTGCAAAGGTAGGCAAAATTTTAAACTAAATATGCCCCTTGAGCAGTCACTGGAGACTGATAGAAACGTAGATACCAGGTCAAGTGCAGGAAGTAATCATAGTCCACAGAAGTGAGTGGGTTTAAACATACCGGTAAGGCCTCTGCTCCTATTGGTGTTCCTTTCTCAGCATCTCCCACACCAGATGTAAGTGTAGTCTTCTTCTTCTCGATGTTTCTTGTGGGAGAAGACTTGAAAGAAGATTTAAGGGAGCCAACAGGAGCTACATAAAGACAGGCATGGAATACTAGAGCGTTACAGTACAACAGCCAAAAAAGAGAGGAAGAGCAGATGGAAAAAGCAGGGAGGCAGGAAGCTGGAAATAACACATTTCTATTAAAAGTTAACACTGACAATCCATTCTCAAAATACTTTTTCTATTGTAGGATAGATCCTATCCTAAAAAGGCTCCCAGACTCAAGAGTCCAGTTCATTTCACAAGTTAAAAGTCTGTAATTTGGAGCCACACCGATCTTGCAGTCCCATCTAATAGTATGATCATTTTGGACAAGTCACTTAACTTCTCTAAATCTCAATTTGCTTATGCAATTAACATAGTTGACATGACTACTATCCTTGGAAAAGCTTTCTTACAAGGTTGGTCCTTGGCTGGTACCTTCAAACCTAAGATTTCAGGAAGGTTCCTGCTGTTAACTGGTGATAACTTATTAACTGTTTTTATACATAATATCATTAAGTCTCTGGAGTTTGCATGTGTGGCTTTCAGGGGATTCCTAACATGATCACCTCAGTAAAAACTCTGGATGCTGTCTCTAAAAAGAGTTCTAGGTTGTCACATGTATTGCCATAATACTTGCTGGGGGAACTAAACACATTCTGTGTGACTCATTAGGAGAGGACCCTTAAAAACTTATACCTAGTTTTCTTGCACTATTCCCCTTAGACTCCTTCCCTTTGCTACTTGTGTGTATCCTACCATAGTAAATCATAATCACGAGTACAGATATGCTGAGAATGGGGCTGGGGAGATAGCTCAGCAGACTAAGTGCCTGCTTGGCAAGCTCAAAGATCCAGGTCTGATCCCCAGTACCACATGCCATGCCAGCCCTGAGCTGAGCCAGTCACTAAAACCTGGCGTGGTGACTCAGGTCTGTAATCCCAACACTGGGAAAGCTGAAGTAGGAGGTTCACTATAAGTCTGAGCTGTGTAGCAGGAACTTGTACCAAATAAGTAAATAAAATACTTTTAAAAATTTGGTTTTTAAAAAGCAAATATTCTAAGTACTCCTTTCGCCTGGTGAATCATAAGACCTCAGAGAAGCCTAGAAAGCCTGAGAAAAATGATGTGAGAAGTGGGAATCAGTAGAACAACCCTGATTCACTGAAATGTGGTAAAAGAATTGCTTGGGAAGAGGCAGGATAAAGGGGCAAAGGATGACGAATGTATGCTGTGGGTGACTGTGGAATCACCCATGGTATGAACCAGCAGCCAATTATTATTTGTTGTAAGAGGTGAAAATTGCCTATAGAATCTGAAGATGACCACCAGATCAATTGGCTTGATGGATCCCCTGGCTGCAATGGATCATGTTAGTTAAAGAGAAGAAAATGTGCAGTTGAGGTACACCTTTGGGTTTGTTTGCTCCTCCAAGTGGAAGTGGGAGACAACCTTCTTGATCTTTGTTATCAGTAGGTGGGAGTAAGTCTCTGTAACTGGAGATTTTTATCTAATGGATAGTCTGGAAAAGGGAAGATGCAGCAATATTTTCTGTCATCCCTATTCTCACCTTTAAAGACCAAATAAATTTTTTTTTGGGGGGGAAGTATTGGGGTTTAAACCCAGGGGACTTTACACTGAATTACATCCCCAGGTCAGACAGATATACACAGCACTTTGGGATTTTAAAAATCAACGTATACAAATGTAGAACATATTTCCATGGGGCCCTACTCTTTGAAAACATCCTAGATAATGCTTCACCACAGGGCTTGTTCTCCAATGGGACTATTCAAGATCAGCTCCTCCTGGGCTCTTTATTTCTCATGCAGAGCCTGGGAGCATTACTACTTTGTGACCCTGTAAAAACCCGCAGGTTGGGAAAGGCTGGCAATATGACCTCTTCAGCTCCTCCTGACAAACTGTACTCCATTCCCTCTAGGGGATGTGTCATTGCTGTTGTCTTGTGTTTGATTTTCTAAAATAGTTTCTGTTTATAACAATAGACTGGGAACTTGATTCCACTCATCTTTTTTTTCCCACTCATCTTTTTCCCAGTACACACACCCCAGTAATTTGTTCAATGTAGGTATCATGAGGAAGGGACTGAAGTTTTTAGACTGCTGACTGGATAACTGACCAAGAAAAAAAATGATTAAAGGTGATATATGTTCAGGTCACCTTCAATTTACTGGCCAGAACTGTGGAGGGTGTAAGTTAAAAAAATGATTCATAAACAACAAAGGAAGCCACTTGACTACCTAAAATAGACCCTTATGGATTCTGTCCTAATGCCTAAAACATGGTTTCTTTTTGATTAAGTTTGATTAAAAAAAAAGTCTTTTGTAGCCAGATGTGGTGGTGCACGCCTATAATCCTAGAACTTTGGGAATCTGAGGCAGGAGATTTGCAAGTTTGAGTCCAGCCTTGGCAATTTTGAAATTTACTAAGATCCTATCTCAAAATAAAACATAAAAGGCTGGGGAGATAGCTCAGTGTGAAGGTCTTGGAGTCAAGCCCAAGTAACCGTCCCCTCCAAAAAAAAAAACATTGCAAAAATGAATTTATCTTTAAGGGTGAGAGTAGGGATGATTGAGAAAATGTAAAATTTTATTTGCTGAATAGGACAGGAAGAAATATATTAAACTCAAGCACTGGGGGATGTGGGCTGCTGCACAGGGAACACTGTTATAAGGACCTTTGTTACCTTCTTCCAGAAGGAAAACTCCCTGAGCTATCTTTATTAGTTGCTATGAGTATTGATAGCTGAACCTAGATGGTACATAACAGCACAACTCAGCACAAGTCGGTCAGTTCCTGCAGGGTCTTTGCAAAACACCTCTAGATGGCATCCATACTTGCTAGGTGCATGGACTGGTTTGGGATTGACCACCTCAGGCTGCATTTCTGGAACCAAACTCTGAACCAAATTAACACTGGACTGAGTAATATGGAGTAAGAGATGAAACAGTGGAAGGCTACCAGAGAGGTCACCTGCCCAGAAGCATATTAGCTCAATGTGCCCTAACATCATCACCTTTGGGTCTCCAGGGAACCATGGGAACCCTAGGGAATTGTACTTTTGTGTGTGCTCTCACTATAATGATATTACCTTAGCCCTGGAAGATGTTCCAGTCACCTTCAATTACTGACCAGAACTGTGTAGGGCATAGGTTAAAAAATGATTCATAAAGAACAAAGGAAACTACTTGACTAACTAAAATAGACCCTTAAGGTTAGTGGGATTTGCTTTAACTACTAAGTCCAGGATTCCTAAAAAGCATGGAAACAGTATGATATGTTGGTCTTGTCCTGTTGTTTGGGGTCTTACTGGTAATTCTTATGTAAACAAAATTTGGCAATAAATCATGGGGGTGAACTATGCAGGAAAAGTATTATAAATAGGAAATGTCACTGCTGTCTTTGGGAAGTCCTATGTATAAGCCTGGCCCTTGGCAAGCATCTGGAGACTTCAATTTTGGCAGGGTTGCCATCATTAACTGACAAATGACTCATTGTGCCTAGACTGCCTAAACTATAAAAATAAAATGGTGTGTACTGGACACCTGCTTTCATCCTGCAAGTCTGGATTTGGGGTATGTGCTCAGTGAGGGTTGCTCATGACCAGACCCCAGTAAAACCCCCTGGTACTGAGTCTCTAATGAGTTTTCCTGTTTGGCAACATTTAATATATGTTGTCATACTTCACTGTTAGAGGAAATGAATTTCAAGTGGCACCACTAGAGAGAATTCTGGAAGCTTGAGACTCATCTTCCTTGCACTTCATCCCTTTATTTTGCTGTCTATCCCTTCACTGTAGTAAGTCAGAGATGATGGGGGCTGGGGAGATAGCTCAGTAGAATAAGTGCCTGCCTGGCAAGCGTAAGGCCCTGAGTTCAATCCCCAGTACTGCCAAAAAAAAAAAAAATGGGGCCAGGGAGATGGCTCAGTGGAATACACACTTCCCTGGCAAGCGCAAGGGCCTCAGTTCAATTCCCAATTTGGCCAAATAATAATAATAGTAATAATAATGATAATGATAATAATAATAATAAGTAGTAGTAGTAGTAGTAGTAGTAGTAGTAGTAGTAGTCAGAGGTGAGTGTGCCTAGATGCCAAGTTCTTTTAGTAAATCACAGATCCTGTACTTGGCTTTAGGAATCTATGAAACATTCCTCATTCTAAAAAAATGGGGGTACTTATTTGCCAAAATTTTTTATCTGAGACAGAATATATGACCAAATTATCCTTTAAAAATATGCCCGAGTATTTTTAGTATACTCACAAGGTTGTACAACGATAACCACAGTCGAATTCCAAAACATCTTTAATTCCAAACCCCAAGAGAAACCTTTATTCACTAAGCAGCCCTCTGTCTTTTTTTCTTCTGCTAGGCTTGATAACCATTAATCTTTTTATTTCTACAAATGTGCCTATTACGAACATTTAACATAAGTGTAATCATAATTTATAGTTTTTGTATGTATCTTCCTTAACTTAGCATATTTTTGAGGTGCATCAATCTTGCAGCAGTGTTAGTACTCTATTCCTTTTCATAGCTAAATAATATTCAACTTTACAGATATACCATATTTTGTTTATCCTCTCACCAGGTGAGCGACATTTGAACTATTTTCATTTTGCAGCTACTATGAATAATGTTCCAAAAGACATTTGTGTGAACAAATATTTTTAGTTTCTTTGGTTCTAAGTAAGCCGAGCCATATAACTCCATACTTAACATTTTTAAGGAACTCCCAGCCTTTATTTCAGAAAGATGCTGTATTTTACATTCCTATCAGCAATGTGATTGGTTCAGTTTCTACATATCTTCAACCAACATATATTATTTTCCCCTCTTAAATAGTTTTAGGGGCCAGGGAGATGGCTCAGTGGAATAAGCACTTCCCTGGCAAGCACAAGGGCCTGAGTTCAATTCTTGGTTCAGCCAAAAAAAAAACAAAACAAGTTTTAGCTATTTAGTGGGTGGGAAATAGTAGCCCATTGTGATTTTGAGTTGTAGTTCCCTAGTGAGTAGTGACAACGAACATCCTGTGCCATGATTATTAGCTTCTTCTGCATTTTCTTTATAGAAATATAACTATTTCAAAACAGCTACCACTAGGTAGACATTTTATGTCATTTATTGGTTATTTCATGACTACCGTATATTTTTCTGTAACTTAGGAATGGAAACCAGATGTGTTGCTCATCTGCAAGTAAAAGACCATCAAGCCTCATTAACTTTGATATGATGATTTGATCTGATCTGGCTAAAGAAGGGCTTTCATAGTCTAGTCCAATGTTTGTCAGACTTTAATATGCAGGTCAGGTACAGCCTGAGGACTGACCATCTTACAAAGCTCCCAAGTGATGCTACTCTGTGCCAGTCATTGTGCTATCTCTTTACACCATTATCTCATTTAATCCTCATGACAAGGGCCGGCCAAATAGCTCAGCGGATTAAACTGCCTGCTTAGGCAGACGCAGGGGCTTGGAGTTAGGGCTGGGAGTTTAATTCCCAGGCCTGCTGCGCCAGCCCCGCCCCCAGGGCACACTGAGATGGCCATTGAAACTGGGTGTGGTGGTGTGCACCTGTAATCCCAGCTCCTGGGAGGCTATAAAACAGGAGGATCACTATGAGTCTGACCTAGGCAGTGAGACCCTGTACACCCTGTCCTAAATACCAAAAAAAAAAAAAAAATCCTCATGATAATTTAAAATAACTCCATTTTATAGATGAGCAGACAGGATTAAGAAAATTAATTAGCTTAAAATGGTAATAGCTAGTAAATACTAGGGCTGGTTATGGGAACCAAGATACTGTGATCAACATACTACTTTGCCAAACCATCTCTCAATAAGTCTATTAACCACCACAGTTCATCAAGCAGGTTTTCTCTAATATTCATGTTCTCAGTAGTTACAAAATTTACTTGCCTCTGTGAAACTTAAATATAGCAACAGCAAAAAATTGGTTGACTAAAATTGTTATCAACCACGGAAAACACTTCACAAAGCCATAAAATGGGAAGCAAAATACCAAACTTCAGGAATAAATCCCAGGCTGACCAATGCCACTTCAGGGCTTTTTCTCAGTGTTACCAGCTTGGCCTCTTTTACCTGAGTAATTGGCCTGCTCAGAGAATATGAATGTACTTCCGCTTCTGTCTAGAGAAACCTGTGAGGGTATCAACAGTAGCATAACAAGAAAGCTTTCCATGGGACTAAGGTGTGCGTGATGAGCTGAGGGATGGAATTAAATGAAAAGTTTAAAAAGCAAAATTAAAAGAATACCAAATAAAATGCTTAAACAACACAGTACGTGATGTAAATTAAATTCTGGATGACAGAACAAATATGGAAGATAAAAATATTCTAACAAAAATGCTTTTGTAGTTTGTTATCTTAAGGTGAAACAAATAATGGGTCATTCAGAGTTTGGGGGTATGTATTAATTCTTTTGGGATGTCAAAATTCATTCAGTATGTTATTATATATAGTTACCTCCATCGTGCAAGAATTAGCCCACCTCCCAAGATACTAGTATGGACTCATTTATTTACCAATTAGATTGAACATTGAAAAAAAGGTTTGTACCTATAAAATATTCATGTTAGGTTCTCTGTTAAGAAATAGTTCGTAACATTGCTTTTTGTAAATAAAATGCTATCATATAGTAGTTTAAAATGGGTTCTTCATACTTTTCCTTGTAAATAAGGGAAAATAAACACAAAAATAATAACATGCAACTGATTATCAGCCTCCATGGAAGATAACAAGATTTATAATCTAAAATTAAATGACCCAAATATTTTTTATGTTTTTGATGGTTTAGGAACATATTTATATAGCAACAAACACAAAGAATTATTTCCTATTCTCTGGGTGTGTGTTGACTATGAAATAGTTTGGGGATTAAATTTTTGCAATTTATAATCTATAAGAAGATAATTCAGTTGTGAAGAATAAATAATAAAATACTTTAATGTTTATGTGTTAAACAATGCAAAAATGAATTTAACATCAATCTGGAACCATAAGAATAAATGGAAACATATGGAATGCACTCACTAGTGGAACAGCTACCTAAAGATGGTGTAGGTGTTTTCTCACCCAACTCTTATTCCTTTTATGTTCCTGGAGTTTTCCTATAAACTGCATCAGAAGTCAACAGCGTTTGGACACAGGGATTCTGACACAAATGTCATGCTTCTGGGATAGAAAGGGAAGTCAATGCCAGCAAACAACAACTAGGAAGGAACACCAGCCTCTTCCAGGTCACAAACATTCTCCTATTCACCCCTCGGGGATAGCCTAACATGCTATATATTTCACTGGCACCTGGCTCCGTCAGTGATTCAATGATGCTTTAAAATAGACATTTGTCATGTTGAGAGCCCTCCCTTCCTTAACCTCCATACTGTGAAAGGTATAAATTCAGGATTCTAATGACTCATCTAAGCCTCCGTTAAAATATGGATGGCATTACATCTATGCAGGTTCTAGAACTGGCATGTGTCCTATATGTCACCTTCCAACTCAAAACTACACCTGAAAAGACTGCTCTCCTTTTCCTCTTTTAGGGGTCTCATATTACCTCTGTGCTTCTGTCTTCATCTATGAAGTGGGCAGGTCTACAAACAATGCAGGACTATAAAACCCCATTTTTTACATCATAGGAAGTCTCCCAGGTAACTGTGATTCATCAATTCTGCTCCTTCGGGCTAATCAACTGCATCTTATCACTAACCAGGCAGATACTTCCTTTTAACTCCTATATATATGCTGTGAAAAGTCAGTTTCTTTCAGACTGGAAGAGTATCAAGTTTTGGCCCTATTCAACAACAACCTGGATCTAGGGTAGTGGTGGCAAACCTATGGCGTTTGCCACAGCGGGCTATCTGTATCACTGAAAGCTCTAAAAGGTTCACCACTAATGATCTAGGGTAATGCCACTCTCCACAGTCCCATTAGTAATGCCCTAGGTGCCGACATTCAGACCACAAGGACAATAGTGGTATTTGCAGAAAGCTTAAAAAGTGGCTCTTGCAAAGGCCAATGTTAAAATGCCAACACTGGGGGCCTGCCCAGTAGCTCAGTTCTTTAAGTGGCTGCTTCAACAAAGCTGTCAGGCTCAGGCTGCTGTGGTTCGATCTCCACAACTCAAGCCAGCCAAACCTGCCCTGAGGGCATTCGGAGCAAAAAAATAAATAAATAAAATAAAATGCCAACACCAGGAAAAAGCACACCGGAAAGATCAACTGTACACATTCACTTGCCTCGGTCTGGCGAATAGGACATAGCCACGGTAGATGAAGACAGGTGCTTACTCATGGGAGGCTCCGGCTGCTTTGGCAAATTCATGGTTGATGTAGAAAGTTTGTCAGATGCTGCAGAGAAATGCATTAAAGACACTGGTATTCAAGCACTATAGACCAAGAAACACACATCTTAAAGTCCCTTTCTGGTCCTCATCCACACACCTCTTACACCACTGTGGCACAGTGCACTGCTTCCATCATTTTGGTATAGCATTATCCTAATCTAGAAATGTCCAGGATATAGCAGTCACTGGGCTGAAATGTTTTCATTGTGTTTTTCTTTTAAACTTGAAATGTTCAACCTTATTCAAATGTTCAACTAAAGTCATGCTCATTCCATATAATTTTCTTGTTTCCAAGGATTTTTAAAAGTATTAATACTACACAAAACCAAAAACCAACCTGGATCCAGAGAGACAAATCCCTACTGAAAACACTCTATGGTCTGACTGAAGTTGCATGTAGTGAAACTGAATCCTGAAGGTTAACTGTAGCTCATGTTGGAGAAAAATGTAATTTTTTTTTGGTGGAACCAGGGATTGAACTTAGGCCCTTGTGCTTGCCAGGCAAGCACTTAGTCTACTGAGCTATCTCCCCAGCCCCCTTTTTCTTTGCTGTATTTATTTTTTATCTTATCGAGACAGGGTTTCACTATGCAGTTCAGGCTGGCCTTAAACTCACTTTGTAGTCCAGGCTGTCTTCAAACTCACAGATTCTTCTGTCTCAGCACCCCCACCCTGTGCTGGGATTACAGATGTGTGCTACCCATGCCCAGATCAAAAATGAAATTGGTAAAGCAAGGAGCTATATTTAAAATGTTTTAGCAGCTGATTTTCTTATTCTTATTAAGAGATGGAGTCAAAGTGGCCCTTTCACAAATGCTTTAGTATGTTATAGTTAAGATTTTAACATGTGACTCTATGTTTCATGTGCTCTTACTCCAGTCTTTATTTCAAACTGGTCTCTAAGTCATGATGGCCAAAATAAGGACACAAACTTACCAGTGAGGTTTTCAAAAGGTAACTCTTCTGCCCAAATTGTTTTCAAATGAGAGAACTACCATGTCTGACAATTCCTGCTGACCAAGTGACAATCTTAAAGCTGAATTCAAAGTCTAATAAATTTGGGTTAGGGATATATAAAATATTTAAACTTAAAATGATGTAAGGAAAGGCCACTGCCCACGCTATAGGTAATAACTTGTGCAGCAAAATCTGTGCACCAATAAATATATTCTTTGTCAAAGGAATGCCAGAAACCAAGGATATTTATTTCTACTGCAAAAACATTATATATTTTTTTGAATTTAGGACAGGGTGTACAGGGTCTCACTACATAGATCGGACTCATAGTGATTCTCCTGTTTTCAGCCTCCCAAGTGCTGGGACTACAGGCGCGTGTCACCACGGTACACTAGGGATTGAATCCTGGCCGCTGAGCTCTGCCAAAGCAGGCACTTTAGTCCGCTGAATTATCAGGCCAGCCCTACAGTATTTCATACTGCTGGTAAATGTCGCATCTCCTTTTTATCTTGTTTTATTTTTTCCAGCCAGAGATGGGTTGAATTTTTTTTTTTCTTTTTTTACTTTGACCTAGTATTTATTTTTTCCATAATTTTATTGAGAAACAAATAGCAATGAGACAGTTTCAAACCAAAATGGTAGGATAGTTTCAATAATTAATACATTGCATACATTCTTCCTAGTGGTTAATTGCTGTACAAGATGTGGACATGATATCCTATTTACAAACATTATTAGAACAAATCCCTCTATTCATTAAGAGAATGTAACTATATATCTATCCTAACCATTTTGAATACACAGATACAAAATGGACATTCATCTGTATCCATTTTTTGTTAAGTTCTGTTATTTGAATATTATAGGTGTGTTAACTCAGCAAAATATTTTAAAAGAGTCCAGTAGTCCATAATAGTATTGGGTCTTCTGCTTGACTGGCAATGTCAGAAATTGTTGACCTGAGTCCCCTACAGCTCAACATAACAGCATGGCTTTACTAAATGCAAAAGGATTTTTTTTTTTTTGCTCCGAATACCTTCAGGGCAGGTTTGGCTGGCTTGAGTTGTGGGGATTGAACCACAGCAACCTGAGCCTGACAGCTTTGTTGAAGCAGCCACTTAAAGAACTGAGCTAAGGGGCAGGCCCCCTGGGTTGAATTTCTATAGTTACTATCAAGTGGGAAAATTTTTCTAGTTTTATTCTTGATCTAGACCATAAACTTTTTCCAAGTTTGTGTCCGCAACAGCATTTTGAGTAATGAAATCAAGCAGAAAGATAAGTTATCTCATTATATGAATTTCCAGTGTTAGTGCTGATAAATTCCTTACCACTTCCTCTCAAGCATTTCTCCCAGAATCCAACCACATTGACACTAAGCCCAAGTATTCCATTTAGAACTTTATATGACTTTTTTCCAGAAATGTTTGGAATTCTCTTCAAGTTAATGTCAAAAATAGATGATTGATGAGATTGCAGAAAATCCACATGCACAAAAGCATTATAGTGAGCTGAGGATGAAATGTCTCCAGAACACTAAGATATAAGGCATGCAGAGCTGCATGATGACAGAGGAACAAAGAAATATGATCATGTCTCTCACATCTCTAGAAAAAAAATGTTGTAACAGGTCAGACTAAGAAATCAATTGTAAAAAGTGCTTGAAACAGACATGGTGATGGTGGAAGGTGTTTAAAACAATTATCACAAAATGCTATGGCACGGTGATACTCAGATATACCATTGGTGGACTCGGCAGCGGCGGAAGTGGTCCCTGCATCCGGAGGGAGGGTGCTGGCTGCTAAACCTAGTGGGGGTGGGGTATTTTCTGATTCACCTACACAGTAAAAAATCAGAGCAAAGAGAGGGAAAAGAAAAAAGTCCCAATTTGTTATTGTATTTGAGTTTCTACTTAGGAAATTAGTAAAGTAACAAATGGATTGTTGGCTTCTCAATAAAGGAATGAATAAAGCATGTTCATTGCTAAAAGGGTAAAAGCACAATACAGCAAAGTCAAGAAACTATACGTCTGCTCTCAGAAAGGGCTACTATGCAACTCCTTCCTTAACAGAATGGTGAGAACTGAAGTGACACTGAAACATAGTGTGACACTGAAAAGAGAGAAAGTCATCCTGAGACTAACAATCCACTTATTAAACATTTGAAAATTTAAAGATGAGTGCAAACTCGATAATGAAACAAGTCACCTTGAAACAAAATCAAAAGAGCAACAAAAATAGTCCTTCTTAGAAAATAACAACTGCCTTTCCCAATCACAGTCATGTCTGGAGCAGTGACTGAGCCTCCTGCCTTTCCCCTCACCTGAAATCAGATTATGCTGGACCTGCCCACTGAGTCCAGCTAACAAGGTTCTGCATTAATTTTCTTTGCTCTTTTTTTCCCTCTTAGTCAAAGCTCAGTTATATCAACTGCTGCCTGGTAGGGAGAAGACTACACAGCTCCCCTTCACGGGAAGTATGCAGACAGGATGCTTGGCAGTTTCAAACATCACATCTGAGAAGGGTACCTATAAGGCTGTGCACAGCATCCCCCAGATCCTCCAGATACCAGTTATGCCTATGACCGCCCCCACACCCCTGGACCCTGCAAGGAAGGACAGCCCTTTACTCACCATCACGTCCTCCAGGCCCTGCAGCCAGTGATGCTCCCCAGAAACCCTTCTTTTTCAGCTCCAGCTGCTGTGTGCGTTCCAGGGACTTGCGCATCATGGCCTCTAACCGTTCCTGCCAGGTTCACATAAAGCGTTTGTGTCAACAGAGAATGCAATCCATTACCCAGCTCCACTGCACTGCTGCCTTGGTGCTCTGTGGGTGAGTCACCAAATGGGGCTTTCTGGGCTCAGCATCCCAAACCCAGGTGCTCTCTGCCACACCAGCCGGGTTCTTGGTGGGTGGAGAGTAAACACTGCAGCTAGGCTAGCACTGGCTCTGCTCTCCAACCAAACACTGCATCCTGCCCCCCCAGGGAGAAGCTGCTGCTGTGCCAGCCCTTGATTTGTTTAAGAATAATGCCCAACAAGCATTAACTCCTTGAGGCCTGTCTCAAGCCCATTTTGCTCTGTCCAGTTACAGGATTGGAATTTGGTTCCACAAACAACTGCAGTCTAATTTTAAAGATAAAATATTCTGCTTTGAGAAAATTTAAATAAATTTGTAATTTGAGTTTCTGTATCCTTAAATATAGCTTTTTAGGGTGCTATATAGCTTTGAGAGGTATTTTGCAAAACCCCATTTTTATCTTAAAATTTCTTAAAGGAGAATCAATTGTTCTACATTAAAACACTTTTCTACTAATAGTACTCTAGGGATAATACTGCGCAGTTCAACACTTAAAAGAGACAATAACACAGATGCTTCCGGCCACAAAATAAAACATCCAGGCATTCCCAGAGTTAGGGAGGTTTGGGGTGGGGGAAGGAATAAGCAATTTTAACCAGAAAAAGAAAAATAACCAGCAAGCTTATTTCTTAAGAGAGAAGCATGCTCCTGTAATAAGCAAGCTTACTTTCATAAAGCTGTCCTTGACACTGGAGTGAGGACAGTAATTCTGTATGCCTTACCACCTCAATGACATTGCAAATACTAGTTCCTCTCCCTGCATTGGCCGAAGAAGGACCAAAACACATCTAATCCTCATTAAACCCTATTTGGAGGTGTTCTGGGAACTGGGCTAAATGTTTTCTGACTCTGTATCACAGATACATGTTATTTTTCACTGTCTAATAAAACAGAACCACATAAAAATAAACTTAGGACCACACAACTTGAATAACCATGACTTAAGCATCAGGAAAGGGCTTTCACTTACTAGAAACACATAATGGCCACTTAGCAAGTACCTGGATTTACCCTTTTGTCTACACCAGAGAGATGAGATTTTTCTTCTACAAATCTCAGCCTTCTCTGTGTAATTGCTCTCTGAATAACTTTGCTAACATTTGCTAAGAAATTCTCCCGGGACCTTTGTGCAGAGAGGTTTTTTTTTTGTTTTTTTTTTTTTGTACAGGAGATTGAACTCAGGACCTAGTGCTTGCCAGGCAGGTACTTAGGCCATTGAGCCATCTCCCCAGCTGAAGGGGGATTTTTTCCCTCTTGAAAGACTCAGATTTGTACTTGCTATAAATTATGGTTTAGTTTTCGGCCAGCAAATCAACAATCATGAGTATGCATTTCCTGCCTGTCCCATCTTCATGACTCCAGTCATTAAATTCTGATACCAAATACTGGTGGTCTGCCAGACAAAAACTAGGGCTTGAAGGGAATAGATCTACTCTATGATTTGATTGCAGAAATTAGGGTCAGATGGTATGGGCTAAATGGTATTTCCTTGTATGGATTTTGATAGGTTCTGGCTCAAGGATGAATTGCTGAATCATTATGGTATTGGTCTAACATGGCTGAAGCCCCAAAACAACAGCTTATCTTCCCAATGACTACTTTCCAGTCTTCTCCCCTCAGCCCTGAATACAACTTCTTTTAAGCCCCCAATAAAAGAAAAAACCCAATAGGCTCCTTATGGTTTGGGCTAAATGGTATTTCCTTGTATGGATTTTGATAGGTTCTGGCTCAAGGATGAATTGCTGAATCATTATGGTATTGGTCTAACATGGCTGAAGCCCCAAAACAACAGCTTATCTTCCCAATGACTACTTTCCAGTCTTCTCCCCTCATCCCTGAATACAACTTCCTTTAAGCCCCCAATAAAATAAAAAACCCAATAGGCTCCTTATGGCCACTGAATCAGCCCCTCAAACTCTACCCCTGGCAAAAATCCATATAACCCCTGCTTCATTGGTCTCAGGTTAGAGGATCCCTGCCATTTCCTGCCTTCCTCTGTCTGTCCTCATTAAAGGGCCTTTTTTCCTTTTGTCTCTTTGCTGTACCAGAAAACCTAATAGATTTAACATAAAATATTTAACCAATGTCCTAATTTAAGTATTGGAATATTTCACCCTACGATGAATTTTAGTTTGGGGTGGTTTGAGAACAGAATAGAGGATGCAGAAACAATCCCAAGAAATTCAATTATTTGATCTTTGACAAAGGGGCTAAAAACACACTGGAGGAAAGACAGCCTCTTTATGGTGCTAAAAAACTGGCTATCCACACACAGAAAATTAAATCTATACACATAGCTCTAATCATGTGCTAAACTAAAATCAAAATGGATCAAAGAACTAAATGTTAAAAGAGAAACACTTAACCAGTTCAAAGATAAAACAAGTAACTCTTGAAATCACAGGCATAGGTAAGGTCTTTCTGAACACAACCACAATAAACAGGAAACAGTACCAAGAATCAACAAATGGAATCATACTGAATTAAAAAGCTTCTATGGGCTGGAGAGATAGCCTGAGGGTCTAACCGTCTGCCTGGCAAGCACAATGACCCAGGTTCAAACCCTGGTACCACATGCTGTGCCTGCCCTGGGCACTGAGCCAGACACTAAAACTGGGTGTGGTGGCACATGCCTGTAATTCCAGCGCTGGGAAGGCTGAGACAGGAGGATCAATAAAAATCAGAGCTACATAATGAGACCCTGTAAACAGAAGGTTAAAGTAATAAAAAAAAAAAAGTAAAAGGCTGTGTTCAGTAAAAGAAATAACAACAAAGTGAAAAGAAAACCTAGAGTGGGAAACAGTTTACCAGCTACTCTTTAGGCAGAGGATTAATGTCTACAATATATAAAGGACTAAAAAACTAGAACCCCCCCAAAAATAAAGACGGACAAATGAGGTGCTTCGCTGCATTCGGAAGGTGCCCAATCTCAGAGTGGCCTAAGGTGTGAGACACAGGGCCTTGTTGCCCTACGTGATCCCAGCTTTAGGGATCCTGAGGGCCCAGCAGAAGCACAGCCTCTTCAACTTGACCTACAACTACAGGGCCCTGGAGACTCACATTAATGTCCAGATCATGCAGCTGTACCACAGCAAGCACCATGCAGTCTATGTGAACAAGTTGAAGACCACCATGAAGTACCAGAAGGCACTGGCCAAGGGAGATGTTACAACTCATGTAGCACTTCAGCCTGCCCTGAGGTTCAGTGGTGGAGGTCGTATCAATCACAGCATTTTCTGGACGAACCTCAGCCTTAATGGTGATGGAGAAACAGAAGGGGAACTGCTGGAAGCCATCAAGCATGACTTTGGTTCCTTTGATAAGTTTAAGGAGAAGCTGACAGCTGTGTCTGTTGGTGTCCAAGGCTCTAAGTGGGGCTGGCTTGGTTTCAATAAAGAGCAGGGGTGCTTACCGATTGCAGCCTGTTCTAACGAGGATCCACTTTATGGAACAACAGGTCTTATTCCACTTCTGGGGACTGATGTATGGGACATGTTTATTACCTTCAGTATAAAAATGTTTGACCTGATTATTTAAAACCTATTTGGAATGTAATCAACTGGGAGAATGTAACTGAAAGATATATGGCTTGCAAAAAGTAAATCATTAGCATTATCAGTATACTGAATGTAAAGCTCTTTTTGACTATGATGACTATTTTTGTAATAGTCTAGAGTGCTGAAATGCAATAGTAAGCTGCTATATTATAGAATTTATTGATGTTGCTTACTCAACATGTTTGATAATTTAATGTTATGAATGATTTCTCTTTCAAATTTTGTAATTAAGAAACTTTGAAAATAGTACTTCATGTGATTTAATCTTGATTAAACTTTTTTTTTAGAGAGTTACAGTTGCTAGTTGTTGTATCATTATAAAAATCTTCAAACTATTCCAGATAGTTTTGAGGTCTGTAAAAAAGCCTTTGTAATCGAGTTGTTATAGTTACAGAAAATCTAATCTTTCCCCAGTTGCTTAACAATAAAATAGAAAGCTGAGCATTTCACTTTTCTATTGAAAAGTGCTGTTTTTGTATGTAATTTTTTGTCTAGTGGGACTTCTGGGAGATACCACCCAGTAGGCCTCAATGTGGTCACATGGCCACATGGTTAATGCCATTTTATTATTCAAAAACATGAAACTTGTGGCTGGGTTTATAGCTCACTGGCAGAGCTCTTACTTGCTACACACCAAGCTTTGGGATTGATCCTCAACACTAGATAAATAAACCTTTCTAAAAAAAACCCATGCTACTTGATTATTAATTGAAAATTGCTTTGTTATAAGGAGATAATTATGCATTTAGGGTTTTCTGGAGGCAGAAATACAAAAATTTCATATGAATTTTGTCCTTAAAAATAGAAATATGTATCACATAAAAATGCTCAAGAAGGACAAATAAGGGCTTGGTGATTACCAATATCAGCAGTGGGGACTGAGCTACAGGGCATTCTGTTGGGCACTTCTATTCTGAGAGCCATTACTGTTATCCCTCCCTCATGGAAACTGGGCTTGGGTCACATACTCCTTTCCCAGTACAGGCAGGTATCTGTCTCTGGACAAGGTCAGCAGTATGTCTATCTCAGAACATTTATTTTCAAAGATATATTCTTGATCTATTCTGTTCTTTGTCATTTTTTTTTCTTTTTTAAAAGCCACTACAGAAGCTTTATATTATTTTTAAATAAAGAAAAATGATGCCTATAATACAGAACAAAACAACCCCCCCAAACAAGAAAGGGCAAGTGAAATGAACAGAAGAAAGAAAAATGGCCAACAAATACATGAAGAAAGCTTAACATCACTGGCAATTAGAGAAAAGCAAATTAAAACAATACAGAGATTCCATCTTACCCCAGAAAAAAATGGCCATCATCAAGAAATCA